CTTGTGGCGTTGATGAAAGTACATTACACGTTATTGATACAACTATTGGCACAAATGAATGTACATTTTCTGTTAATGAACAGCAAAAGGTGTATTTGATCCTTATTTAGAGAAATGTAGAAATGTAATACAGTCATTGCCGAGGTTGTCTCATTTAGACGAATATCAAATTCTTCTTTGGCTTAAACCAAGTACAGACGTTTCATGTTATGCCATCTTAATGAAATCAAAACTTGATGACGCTGAAGCTGCAAGTGAGGTTTCTCCACAGCAAATCAAAGTAGCTAACGTCATCTTATCTGCAACTGAATGTAGCCTAGAATGTAGCAGAAATATGAAAGATACGAGTACCAAGTCCTCGAAGATGGTACCTCTGTCATTATCAGAATGACGGGAGAAGTATTGAAAGTGGTTGGTTACTACTCAAACGCAACAACGCCAAACACGAGCCAAGCTATATATGTTTGCCGCAATCGTCAGATGTTTAGCTGCTCAGGAGTTTTCATTTTGTTGAATAATAGTAAATTCACAGCTTTGCCGAATAAGTCTATATTTGTGAATGCTTCTGGGCAATTGTAAGACTGGTCGGAGTATGTTTGGAAGACGAAAGGCGCAAAAGGCGCGAGTTTTCCAGATGAAGTTCTAACTATGATAACGTTGGTCTGCATGTCCTTGTCCATCATCGCCCTGGTGTTTGTCCTCCTGACTTATTCCTTGTTCAGTGAGCTACGAACACCACCAGGAATCAACCTAATGAACCTCAGTGTTTCTATTTCGCTGTGACAGCTGTTGTGGTTACTTTGAAGTGGACAGACAGACACACCCATGGCTTGTACTGTCATCGCTGTCATTCTACATTACCTCTTCCTTGTCTCTTTTGTGTGGACGACAATCATCGCTTTTGACACTTGGAGGGCTTTTGCTGCCAAAGGAGCAAAGCCATTGATTGATTCAAAAGCTGAATGAATGAAGCATTGCATACRTTATATGGCAGTTGGGTGGTTTTCCATTTTTTGTTATATATCGCAGTCTGTGTCCTACTAGACCTAACCGGTACCTTTGCAATTAGATACCAAGTCTACCTCAGCGTGCTGGATAGGCAACAAATTGGTCATTCTATATTTCTTTGCTATTCTAGTTGGCGCAGTGCTTATTATCAACTCGGTCTTCTATATCATGACACTCGGGGTGATCAATCTCCACTCCCTACAAGCAAGAGAGGCCTCAAATCGTTACACGAAGGAAAACTTTGGAATCTACGTACGCATCGCATCGCTCATGGGTTTTACATGGGTCTTTGGGTTTGCTGTTCCATTTGGCAATCAGTTCTTAAAGTATCTATTTACTCTGCTGAATAGCTCACAGGGAGTTTACATCGCCATAGCTTTTGGATGCAGCAAGAGAGCTAGAGGACTTTACAAAAACTTATTCCTGGGAACCATACAGCCTACAAGAACCATAACTTCAAATGCCATGACTAGTACTTCTCGTGAAGAAAAGTCGCGGAAGACTGGTTATATTATCTGGCGATAACGGAACATTGCACATAATAGTAAACTTCACTATCATCATCATTATCCTCATCCTCATCCACATCCTCATGGTCATCATCAGTAATGAACAAAAAGACATAAATATTAGGAGCAGAAGAAGGACAAGAGAAAAAGAAGAAAAAGAAGAACTAAGAAGAAGAAAAGAGAAGGAAGAAAAACTGAAGACACGATAAAAAAGAAGAAGAAATAGAAGAACGATATGAAGAAGAACAAGAGAAACTGCACGAACAACGAAAACAGCAACGATAACGATGACAACAACAACATCAACAACAACAACCACAAGACGCAGAAAAAGGAAAAGGAAAAGTGGAAGAAGAAGAAGAAGAGAGCAAGAACAGCAAGAACAATGACGAAAATAACAACAATAGGATGAGGAGAAAAGAAAAAAATAAATAAAGAAGAAAAAGGACAGGAAGAAATGAGAAAACCAAGAGGATATTGATGGTAATTCAGAGAGCTTTAAAACTTTTAAAACTTTGTAACTATATAATCAATTGATGATAATAAAAACAAAAAATTAATCAAAAGGATTACCTTAGCATTAAGAAAATAAGTAATTAAATAACTATAATAAATTACAAATATAGTGAATATTTAAATAACTAATTACAATAATGGAAAACGTATACTGCATACGCTCAGTAAAGCTAAAATATTCCAATGCGAGTTCAAATACGTACCCAAAAAAATTAAATACTTGCCAAATAATGTTATTGAAAAAAGTATCGTTGCCAAAGGCTTAAGCTAACCTGAAATAGGGTGTGAATCTATATACGTGCTCGTGCTAACAGATTGCATGTTCTCGGTAGAATTAATTGTACCAAAACTTTATTGAGTCCAAGTATGAATACATTAATCATGGCTTGCTATATTTATTAATTTTATGAAAGTCTTCAATATAAAATATATCGTGTACGATCACTTCGCTATTATTGGCTAACGAAATGAGTATAATTCTGAAGTAACGAGCATACGAGTGCAAATCTAGCGATTATCACTATTGATGGTTTTCAACCATTCCCAAGGGAATTGAATAACAAAAGACACGGCGGCCACGTTGGAGGATATAACAAAATAATTCATTGACAATTCTTTTGTTAAGTTCCTACAACATGGCCGCCGTGAAAACCATCAATTTAAACGTAATAAAACGTAACTATGAACTAACTTCTAGGCCTGCATGACAAAACTCAAAACTTGTTAGCATTGAGCCCGTGCATATCTGCAATGCGGCGTCGCACAAAAATATAAACAGATTGCAGTGAAAACCTTGCATTTGGCGAAATAAGTAAAAGAGTATGTAAATTTTCGCAATCAAATCATAAAATTCACGAGCGAAAAATGAAAGGTGATAACTTCACATGAATGTGCTACATGTGATGGTATATTCACGGGCCCAAGAGTAAAAAACTTAGGCCTAGGACAAACGTCGAACTTTCCATGCACCGAACTCATCAAAAACAAAGGATATCAGGTGGTAATGAGGCGGCATTCTTTGATGTAATTAAGTTCGGTGCATGGAAAGTACGACGTTTGCCCTAGGCCTAATAGACCTTATAATATTCACGGAAATGAAGCGTTTTGCAAATCATCTCAATAAAATGTTCAACGCCATCAAATAAGTTTGAATTTGAAGTCCCAAGTCATTCCAGGCGCTTTTTAACCGTAAAGCCTAAATCACAGCATGTCTTGTTTGAATCGGTTCTGCAACGAGACCAAGCTAGCAACCCCTCACGTCATACTAAAACCAAAGCAAGTCCAAAGAAGTGGTTTCCAAATATATAACAAACCGAACTTGTTAGAGCAGTTGCTCCGATTGCACTTAAGTCTGGAAGAAGCGAAAGCTAACTTTGAGGGTATCGAGTTGAAATGGATAATATCAGGGAAAAGAGAGCTATTTCAGCGTGACAACTGAGAACGCGTGACTATTGCGTGACTATTGCCGGAAATAGGCACTCGTACGTGTGGTCATGGCTTAATAAAGTTGTTGTCGATACCAAGTCATTATATTACATCCCAAAGGCCCTATATACGCATCATCTTTAACCATCTCTCTAAAGTTGTTTTGTGGTTACCGCGAGCTATTTTTTTGCAATTTGAGAGTGTTTGCCCGATTCCGAAAATGTGGATGCTTGTTTGTGTCGTTATCACTGTTTGTTATGGCGAAGCGCGTTCATCGTTGCCTTCTCCATCCGAGGCCAATGTACGACTCTTCCTCACCAAGAAAGGCATTGATTATGGTAAGAAATATCCTCTAGAAATTGTCAATGCTTCGCTTAGAAATTCACGTACATGTTTGTTAAAAGGATAATTCTTTATCACCGAATATCATATAAATGGCCCGGAATAAGTTAAGGACTTCGAACAAATCTCAAAATTCCAAAATCAGCAAGTCTAGAGTTGGGTTCTTATAGAATATCTCTAAAAGAGACAGGACTTTATACGCGTTATGGCTTTCGAAGAGTTAACATCAAAGGGGAATACTTAAGAATTATCAAGACAAAACATACAGTGTCGTCTTTAATTAATGAGAATCCCTCTTGAGAGGCAAGCTAATCGTTCAAGGTCATCAGGTTCAAGGGTATTAAAGATTAATATCATTTTTAACTTAGTGAATGTAATAATTTCAGTTAGGGCAAAAATAGGAAATTGAAAATTGGGCAGCGATGCTACAGGATGAAACAAATTCTTGGGGTGCATATTACGTCATAGCCGCGATGTTGGTTGACGATAACAAAGCATTCGTCATTAGCTTCTTTAGTTAGATGCTTGTCCACCATATAGCGACTTTTTCATTGCTACTTATATCTCATGCTTTTGTTTCTTTTAAAAGATGATTTTGTTTTTTTACCGGTTATTTTCAAGAAATGATAAGAATTTGGTGGATCGTGTTACAGTTTTTTGGACTTTTTTAGAAGAGGGGTGGCGACGACGTTGTGATAGGGTGGGAGGGGGGAAGGGGAATCCCACTGAAAATGCTTGTGTTTACTATTATTTATCATTATTATTATCATTATTATTATCATTATTATTATCATTATTGTTGTTTTTTGTTGTTGTGATGATGATGAAGGAGATGATGGTTATCATCATCATCATCTGATATTATTATCTTTGTTTATTTAAACTTTCAGTATGCTTAATACTTTACAAGAATAAAGCGGAACTTTTATAGTTCTAGGCTATATCCTTGGCGTGTCACTAACAAATGTCTATTCAAAGGTGCCTTTACTAGTTCGCAGTTTTTTCGATATTGCCTATTTTTGGCATTGTCTTATCAAGTTTTGTCCATCAT